GTTCGATCCCGCCCCATGTTTTGATGCCTCGCACGGGTTTAGGGAACGGCGATGGCTTGAGAGATTCTTGGGCATTCCAGTTCGAGCTGTAGTCTGCCCGTCGCGATGTACGAAGTAACGGTGCGCATCTGTAATCGAAGACGCTTACGGCGTGTCAGCGCTGGCCCAAACGCGTATGTCGTGAAACGTCGAGCGAGAGTGCGGCCACGCTTGTGGACTGCTTGTTCCCCCAGCTGTTGAGGAAGCTTCTGGAGGGAAACTTGACAAGGGCTGTCTTGAAGCTATCTTGGGGTTTTCTGGCCTTTTTGGTCTTCCTGGGCGCCTCCTGGAACCCTCTTTGAGCCATCTTGGCACTCTCCGAGGCCGTCCGAGGGCGCTCTTAGGGCATTCTGGCGCCCTCGGAGGCTGCCTTTGGGGCCTCTCTCTCTGGGTCGCCTTGGGGTCATCCTGGGGCGCTGAGAAGGCCGTCTTGGCAAGCGCGGGAGCCGTACCGGGGCGCCCTGGGGCCCTCTTTCGGGCCTCAAGAGACGGGGGTCAATGCAAACGGAGGTCAGCCAGAGCGCTGGATTCTGCAGGATCTTGCAGGGCCAAGGGCGCACTGACCCGGGCTTGGGTGCAGGTTCCCGCAGTATCCTGCAGAATTTTTGCTGGATCCTCCAGAGCCTGACTGAACTGGGTCTGGATTGACCCGGTTCAGCAGATCCAAGACTGTTGAGGGTCTGTTTGGCCGTCTTTGGGTGGTACTGGGGGACTCTTGCGCCGGCGTTGACGCTCTCACGATTGGAATTTGGCGACAGTCCGAGATTGATGGAAACACACGAGGGAACTCACACTGTTTGCCTGTCGAGGCCACCTGGGGAACCTCTTGCAGCACTACTGGGGCGTCTCGGGGATCTTTCGGACCGTCTTGAGGCCAGCTTTGGGCGTCTTAGGGGCAATCTTGGGAAGTGTTGGAGTCAGCTTGAGCTCAAATACTTCCAGGCAGTTTGGGCTTCCTTGGACCGACTTTATGCCGACCAGGGCCTCTTGGAGACCTTCCTGGAGCCCTCTGAGCTGCAATAGGCCCCTGTGGGTCTCGGCCAAAGGGCAGTGGGAAATGCTCGGGGATGCCAGGCACTCCTCTGGCAGAATAATTACGGAGGCGGTGGATTGCGCATGAATGTCATGCTCATGTGTATATGGCGCACTCTGGTGCCCATGGGCATCCACTTCCCCGCCACCGTGCCTGGTCGTGGACGAGACATCTTGGATGACTCCTCGGGCCCCTTGGAGGCCTCCTTTTGAGGAGCTCTGGGAGGTCTCTTTGGAACATCTTGGGGCTCTCCTGGGGGCCTCTTGAGACATCTTGGGGCCTCTTGGGGGCCTGCCGGCTGCTTCGGGGGCAATCTTGGGGTACAGCAGCCTTATAGCATTTTGAGTTCCCCCTCGTGGGCCCCTTCGGGGGCGGCCTCTTAGGGGCCTCCTGGCCTCTCTTGGGGGCCTCGGGGGCCCTGTTCGGCGGGTCTTGGACCAAGACGGCCCAAGCGGCCCCCGCTAGAGCCCCACAACGGTTTCTCGGGCCCATCTTGGAGAATGGTGGAAGTGTTGATTCCGAACCGCACTCCCGATGCCCTCTGGAAAAGCCACGCGAACGCAGCCTAAGAAAGAGCGCCCACCCAAACCCTGGTTGAAAGAATATTGTGAAGGCCTTACGGCCTGTGCCGCCGATCCTGAAGGACGACGACGACGACGACGACGTCGACGACGACGACGACGACGACAAAGACAGCGGTGGCGGCGGTGGCGGCGACGGCGACGACGAAAAGTATTCAAATACATTCAATGAACATCCTCGATGTTTTGGGGGGGTTCTCATGTGCAGCGCTGGGCACGAGCTCGAAAGGGTTGCCCGAGGACACTCCACTCGGCACCTCGCGGCACGGAGGCGGGCTCTAGGCAGGTGAGGAATGAACGATGAATGCAGATGTCTTGGTTGCATGTCCTCGAATGCAGCCCCAGACATGATCGCGTCGTAACAAAAATCAGGATGGGAGGTTTTTGGCCAATTTCGGCCACGGGGGGCCCTCGCCGGGCCTCGGGACCATCAAAAAACGACTCAGGATGAGAAAACCCGCCCTGGGGAAAGGGTCGGGACTTCCAGGGACGCTGTCCTGACAAAAGTCAGGACGTCGCATGTCTGGAAATGCAGCGGGGACGCGCACCAAGGAACCATACGCTTTTCGTCGGGGTGCCCCAGGTGTCGTCGATTCCACCGATGCGCGCCGACCTGTCCCTATACTTTTTAGAACTTGCTGCGCCGAGGGTACTTGGGATGTCTCCGACTCTTAGCTGCTCTGGTACGCACGTTTTGAAGCGTAACACGTGCCGTGTTCAAAGCGTCCGTGTTCAAAACGTACGTGTTCAGCTCCGTATCAATACGCTACGTGTTGCGAGTTGCGTATCGGGGCAGCTGAGCTCCGACTGGATCCCTCGGACGAGAAGCCTGGGCCCTGTGCAAGAGACTCTGCGGCACTTCCGGGCTGGGATCTCAGGGCAGGACTGCCTCGCTGGCCGGGCGTCTTGCGGCCGCGTCCCCACCGAAGTGCGCCTCGTGCGCTGGCATCGTGGCCGCTCTGCTCAGGCAGGGCGTCACCCGGCATCTTCCACAGAAGCTTCCCGTGCACGCGCTTGGCTCGCCGCGCCAGCCATGATGCGCACCCTCGGAGCGCTGGCCACGGTGGCCACGCTGGCGACAGTGGCCACGCTGGCCGGGGAGCACGGAGCGGAGCTGGGCGCGGACCATGCGTGGCACGTGGTCTCCTCGGGGGCCGTCCACGCACGAGAGTTCGCCTCCTCGCAGCTGCTGGCAGCCCAGCAGGCGTCGCTGTCAGCCAAAGGGGCCCTCTCAGCGGGGGGGGGTCTTCCTGGAGAGCCTCGGGGCTGCAGGGCTCCCGGTTCCTGGGAGGTCCGGGCAATGCATGTTTTGCAGGCCGAGCGCTTGCGCCCGCTCTCGGGCCCCAGGACCATCACAGAGCGATCTGGCTCGAGGAGTCAGTAGCATGTTGTAGTGCCTGTTGTCGCAATGACCCTGATCGCAGGGCCCCAGGCCGCAAGGCACCACCTACGCAACCACCCCCAACCCAGCACGAGGGCCCCCAACCTGCTCTCCATGCCCAGTGGAGTGGGTCTCCCGGAGCAGCCTCGAGAAACACACTTGAGCGCCCGTACCCCCACACTTGAAACACACTTGAGCGCCGCGAGCGGTCAGAGCGTCCAAAACGGCCTCGGCGAGGAAGCCAAACTCATTGGTTTTACTATGGTTTTGGCCCCATTTTGGCCTTCTGAGGGGGCAGCGCTAATTAAAGCTCCCCTCTTCTTTGATCGATTTCCTCCACGATGGCCGCAAGAGGCCCCCAGGATGCCCCAAGAGGCCGCAGGATGGCCCCAAGATGGCCCCAAGAGGCCCCCCAAGAGGCCCCCAGGAGGCCCCCAAGAGACCCCCAAGAGGCCCCAAGAGACCCCCCAGAGGCACCCAAGAAGCGCCCAGGAGGCCCCAAGAAGCGCCCAGGAGGCCCCCAAAGGCCCCAAGATGGCCCCAAGAGGCCCCAAGAGGCCCCCAGGAGGCCCCAAAGAGGATCCCGAACGGCCCACAGAGGCCCCCCCGAGGCACCCAAGACGCCGAAAAGCCCCTCAGGACGACCCTCTACTCGCCTGGGCGTCGTTTCTGGACGGGCTGGTGGGGATACGCGAAGCGTCTAGAATAGCAAATGTATAGGTACACATGCCTTCTTCTTGTACGGCGTACAAGCTCTGGAGATGATGATGACGAGGAGGAGGAGGAGGAGGAGGAGCCAGAAGCGGAGGGGAAGGGGGTGATTAGAACAAGGAGGAGGAGGAGGAGGAGGAGGAGGAGGAGGAGGAGGAGGAGGAGGAGGAGGAGGAGGAGGAAGAGAAGAAGGAGGAGCAGAGATGGAGGAGGAGAGATGGGGAAGCAAGAGGGAGGAGAAGGCAGGAGGAGGGAGGAGAAGGAGGGAGGGCGAGGAGGGACGAGGAGGGACGAGGGGGGTGGGGGGGGAGTGAAGGAGCAGGGAGAGAGGGAGGGCGGAGGGGCCCGGAGCGCGGAGCGAGCAGAGGATGCTGGCAGACGGCGATGGCAAGCCTTGCCCCCTACCCTCGAGGATCCAATAGGTCCTGTTTGAGAGCTTGCCTCTCGGCCTCTGGGGGCCTCTGGGAAACTGCAGGGCCCCCTGGGCGGAAGCAATAAAACCTACCGCCAGGGCGCTCCTCCTCTTCCCCTTCCCCTTCTCCTCATTCTCTTTCTTCCCCTCATTCTCCTCCTCCTCCTCCTCCTCCTCCTCCTCCTCTTCGTACTCCTCCTCCTCCTCCTCCTCTTTTTCCGCGTCCTTTGTCCTCTCTCCTCCTCCTTCCTCTCGTCCTCATCATTATTTCCTCTCCTCCCCTCCTCCTCCTCCTCCTCCTCCTCCTCCTCCTCCTTCTTCTCCTCCTTCTTCCCCTCCTCCCCCCCATCCTCTACCTGTCCCGCTCCTCCCTCCCTCCCTCCCTCCCTCCCTCCTTCCTCCCCTCCTCCTCCTCCTCCTCCTCCTCCTCCTCCTCCTCCTCCTCCTCCTCCTCCTCCTCCTCCTCCTTCTCCTTCTCTCCCCCCCGCTCGCACCACTCTTCGTCCGCGGTCGTCGTCTCCGTCCTCTTCGTGGCCGTTTTTGCCGTCGTCGGCGTCGCCATCGTTCGTCGTCCATGTCTTGACATGAAGGAAGCGGGCCCCGAGGGAGAGACGGGTCCTGCACCACGGGGCCTTCCCCCGAGACCGGCTCTTCACACTGAGTCGTTTCTTAAACAGCCTCCGGGGTCCGTGGCGGGCCCTTGGGGCCCGCAAGCCGCGAAAAACCTCAGGACCCATTTCCCTCAGGACCCGTTGGCTTCATGGCTACATGTCGTCGTCGTCGTCGCCGTCGGCAGCGTCGTCGCTGGCGGCGGCAAGGAAGCGCCGAAGCCGAGCCGAGAGCCTGGGCCACACCGCGGCCTGCAGCGACTTGGAGGCGGAGGACGCCCTTCGCAGCAGCGAGGCGCCGGAGCCCAGCCGGCTGGGGCCGTCGCCGTCGCCGTCCTTCGGAGGGCGCCCTCCCCAGGCCATCCTTCCTCCTCCCGTCGCTGTCGCTGCCGGCCTCGGAGTGTGCTCGTTTCGTTCGAGGCAGCGTAAGGCGAGCGATTCGGGGTGCACGCGCGCGCGACCGTGAACCGAAAGGCACGCGCCATCACATCAGACGGGCACTGTGCAAGACCTCCTTAAGAAGGGGCGCGCGCTGGCTGCTCAGCCCGATAGCTTGGACAGACGGGTGGAGAGGAGAGGGACTCGTGGTCAAGACCAGCTCCGAGCGCCCCCTCCGCCTCCTCTGGATCCCGCATCTCCGGCGCCGTGATTTCCTGTCCGCCGGCGCTCTGCCCTCGGCTGCGACCCTCGGGGGCCGTCGTCGGGGCCCCGGGGCCATCAGAGGGGGCTCCAGGATGACGTGTGCCCCCCCGCGAAGCGAAGCGGTCGGGGCCTCTGGGGCCGCGGGCGGAAGAAAAGTCCCATCGGCAGACGACTGGGATGTTCCCATTTCACCCCCCCCCCGCTCACCACCCTCCTGCCTCCTCCTCCTCCTCCTTCTCACCCTCTTCTTCCTCCTCTTCCTCCTCCTCCTCCTCCTCTTACTTCATCCCTCCTCCTGCTCCTCCTCCTCCTCCTCGTGCTCCTCCTCCTCCTCCTCCCTCTCCTCCTCCTCCTCCTCCTCCTCCTCCTCGTTCTCATCACCCCCTTCCCCTCCGCTTCTGGCTCCTCCTCCTCCTCCTGCTGCTGCTGCTCCTCCTTCTCCAGAGGAAGAAGAAGAAGCAACATAAACATACACTTTCGGAGGTCGGCGCGGGTCTCCTGGATTGGCGCTGGACCCCCATCCCTGGCGCGCTCCACGCGCCAGGGGCGGCCCCTGAGGCGCCGCCAGGGGGGGTCCAGCGCCGATCTGGGAAATCAGTGCGGACCTTGGGGGAATTCTGTGTCTGACATTCTTTGCTCCTTCAGCTAAATAACATCGCGCGACGAAGAGTCTGCCCCGCGGAGGGTGTAGTGGTCGAGAACTCGGGGGGCTTCCGCGTCGTAACAGAGTCGCGCGGCGTCGTCCAGGCCTGGGCCGCTTAATGCGTCTGTGGCAAGGACAGCATCCCACCACAGCTGAGCCACTGGGGTGAAGGGCCCCTCTAGATTGTCAAGGACTCTTAGACACGGTATCGGTAGGAACTGAAGCGCTTATGAATCCCAGTTCATCCTCCAACCTTCCTCCATCTCTCTTCCTCCTCCTCCTCCTGCTCCTGCTGCTGCTGCTGCTGCTCCTCCTCCTCCTCCCCTCCTCCTCCTCCTCCTCCTCCTCCTCCTCGTCCTCCTCCTCCTCCTCCTCCTCCTCCTTCTCTCCTCCTTCTCTCCTCCTTCTCTCCTCCTTCTCTCCTCCTCCTCCTCCTCCTCCTCCTCCTCCTCTCCTCCTCTTCCTTCTCCTCTTCCTCCTCCTCTTCCTCTTCCTGTTCCTCCTCCTCCTCTTCCTCCTCCTCCTCCTCCACCTCCTCTTCCTCCTTCTCCTCCTCCCCGACCTCCTACTCCTCTCCTCCTCGCCTCTGCTCCTCCTCCTCCTCCTCCTCCTCCTCCCTCCTCCTCCTCCTCCTCCTCCTCCTCCTCCTCCTCCCTCCTCCTTCTCTTCCTCCTTATCCTCCACAACTTCCTCCTCCTCCTCCTGCCTCCTCCTCTCTTCCTCCTCCTCCTCCTCCTCCTCCTCCTCCTCGTCCCTCCTCGTCCTCCTGCTCCTCCTCCTCCACCTCCTCCTCCTCCTCCTCCTCCTCCCCCCCCTCCCTCCTCTCTCGTCCTCCTCCTTCCTCCTCCCCCTCCTCCTCCTCCTCTCCTCCCTCCTTCCTCCTCCTCCCCTCCTCCTCCTCCCCTCCCCCCCCTCCTCCTTCTCCTCTTCCTCCTCGTTCTCATCACCCCCTTCCCCTCCGCTTTTGGCTCATCCTCCTCCTCCCCCTCCTCATGCTGCTCCTGCTGCTGCTGCTGCTCCTCCTCCTCCAGCAGAAAAAGAAGACGCACCACAACACATACACTTTCGGAGGTCGGTGCGGGTCTCCTGGATTGGCGCTGGACCCTCATCCCTGGCGCCAGGGGCGGCCCCTGAGGCGCCGCCAGCGGGGGGTCCAGCGCCGATCTGGGCAATCAGTGCGGGCCTTGGGCACATTCTGTCTCTGAAGTTCTTTGCGCCCTCAGCTAAATGACATCGCGCGACGAAGCGCCTGCCCCGTGGAGGGCGGTCGACAACTCCTGGGGGGGGGGGCTCCTGCGTCGTGACAAAGGTCGGGCGGCGGCCTCTCTCGAGGTATGGGCCGCAGGGGGGGGGGGGGGGGGCGGTCCGCGGAGCTTCGTGGGGGGGACACCTCGGGCGAGGAGGAGGAGGAGGAGAGAGGAGGAGGAGGAGGGGCAGGAGGAGGAGGAGGAGGAGGAGGAAGAGGAGGAGGAGGAGGAGGAGGAGGAGGAACAAGAGGAGAATAACAAGAGGAGGGGGAGGAGGAGGAGGAGGAGGAGGAGGAGGAGGAGGAGGAGGAGGAGGAGGAGGAAAAGAAAGAGACGGAAGAGAGATGGATGAGGGATGGAATATGAACTGGGATTCATAAACGCTGCAATTCCTGCTGCTACCGTGTCTACAGGGGCCCTTCACCCCAGTGGCTCAGCTGTGGTGGGATGTTGTCCTTCCCACAGACGCATTAAGCGGCCCAGGCCTGTTACGACGCGGACGCCCGCGGAGTTCTCGACCACTCCACCCTCTGCGGGGCAGGCTCTTCGTCGCGCGATGTTACTTAGCTGAAGGAGCAAATAATGTCAGAAACATACATTGCCCAAGGCCCGCACAGATTTCCCATATCGGCGCTGGACCCCCCCTGGCGGCGCCTCAAAGGCCGCCCCTGGCGCTCAAGCAACTCGCGCTCAAGATCCGACACAATTCCGAAGCGGGACGAGACGACACGTGGCGCGGGGCGCATGGACGCGCCACGGTATGTGCCAAGGGGGGCACTACATAAAGGATGCGCCAAATAACGTGTCAGGGGGCGTGGCAGGTGACGCCACGGAACGGGCAAGGAAAGCGCCAAGGGACAAGCCGAGGAACGCGACAGAGAACGAGCAATGGGACGCGCCTAAAGGGGAGGGGCATATGCCGTCCCGCTCTGGTGTGTTAGGAACCCGTGTGTGTTTCACGCTTGTCCCGTTCTGGGCCGTCGGGAACCCATGGTTTTCACGTGTCCAGGCCACCCAGGGACGGATATCTAACACGTGGTAGTGAAAACACGAGGTTCCAGCTCGGGGCAAGCATGTTAGATATCACCCTGGGTCTCGGGGCAACCATGTTAGATACCCTCTGGGTGGCCTGGCCAAGTTAGAACATGTGGTTTCAGCTCGGGACCACCATGTCCGATACCTCTCTGGGTGGCCTGGACACGCGAGACCGCGTGGTTCCAGCTCGGGGCTGCCATGCTAGATACCTCTCTGGGTGGCCTGGACACATGAAAACACGCAGCTCCAGTGAAGGGCATGAGGAAACCATCTTAGATACCCCCCCCCTGGCCGGCCTGGACACGTAAAAGCACGTGGTCAACTCGGGACCACCATGTTAGATAACCCCCTGGGTGGCGTAGACACGTGAAAAACACGTGGTTCCAGCACGGGACAACCATGTTCGATACCTCTCTGGGTGGCCTGGACACGTGGAAACACATGGCTCCAGCTCGGGGCCACCATGTTCGATACCTCTTTGGGTGGCCTGGACGCGTAAAACTATGTGGTTCCAACTCGGAACTACCATGCTAGATCGCACAGGGGGAAATTTGGAAAATCTCCCGCCGAAGGAGCTGGGTGGCCTGGACATGTAAAACCACGTGGTTCCAGCTCGGGACCACCATGCTAGATACCTCACACGGAAAATACATATTTCCAGCGTAGGACCACCATGCTATATGCCCCTCGGGGTTGCTGGGACATGTGACAGAACGTGGTTCCATCTATGGACAACCATGTCAGATACCCCCCTGGGCGACCTGGGCTCGTGAAAACAGGCATTTCACCTAAGACATGATTAGAATTCTGGCCCCAGGAGAATAGCACACTATAGCGTGAACCAACCAAACCGAACCGAGAACCGGTAACCGTGAGCGGACCGGACCAAGACAAGAAAACTAAACATCGAACCAGACCGAACCGAATTTATTCAGAACCGAACCGGGGGGAACCGAACCGAACCAAAGCCGGAACCGAGCCAGAACCGGGCGGCCCCCGAGCCGAACTGACGGGAACCGGACCGAAGTCCCAACTCAGCCCGCACAGGAACGCAGGACGACGACCCCCCGTACTTCAACCACCCGGGAAGACGACGAGGCTTGATGCAGCCAGTGCGAAAGCTTGAACCAATGTGCGCTAGCGGTGACGATGATGACCATGACGGATACGAGGACGTCGAGGCGGGTCGGGGCGGGTCGGGGCAGGTCGGGGCGGGTCGTCCGCGGCAGACCGCGGGAGGGCGGGCCCTTTAGCGGCCCCCCCCGCGCGAGGGCAGGGGGCAGCCGACAGGGTGCCTGGCTGGGTTCCCGCGGACCCCCCACACCAGCAGTCCATTGCCCCCCCCCCCCCCTGTCGCGACCCCCCCGCCGCGACCCCCCCCTGTCGCGACCGTCGCGACCCCCCCGTCGCGACCCCCCTCCCGTTCGCGACCCCCCCGTCGCGACCCCCCTCGTCGCGCCCCCCCCCCCCGTGGTGACCCGTGGCGCCCCTCCCGTCGCGACCTCTCCCGTCGCGACCCCCCCCTAGTCGCGACCGTCGCGACCCCCCTCTGTCGCGATCCCGCTCCGTCGCGACCCCCGCCGTCGCGACCCCCCCCGTCGCGAACTCCCCGTCGCGACCCCCCCGGTGGCGACCGCTCCGTGGTGACCCCCCCTGTCGCGACCCCCCCTCCCGTCGCGCCCGCCTCCGTCGCGACCCCCCGCCCGTCGCGACCCCCCCCGTCGCGAACTCCCCGTCGCGACCCCCCTGTGGTGGCGACCGTTCCGTGGTGACCTCCCCTGTCGCGACCCCCTCCGTCGCGTCCCGCTCCGTCGCGACCCCCCGCCGTCGCGACCCCCCCCCGTCGCGAACCCCCTTTCGCGACCCCCGTCGCGACCCCTCCCTGGCGACACCCCCCCTCGCGACCGTCGCGACCCTCCCCGTCGCGACCCTCCCCTAGTCGCGACCCTCCCCGTAGCGACCCAACCCGTCGCGACCCCAGTCCAGTCGCGCCCCTTCCCGTCGCGACCTCCACTGTTGCGACCCCTCCCGTTGCGACCCCCCCGTCGCGACCTCCCCGTGGCGACCCCCCACCCGTCGAGATCCCCCTCCGTGGCGACCCTCCCGTCGCGACCCCGGAGCGATCCCACCCCGTCGCGACCTCCCCCGTCGCGACCCCCTCCGTCGCGCCCGTCGCGACCCCCCTGTCGCGACCCCCGCCCTGCCCCCTGGCGACCCCACCGTCGCCCCCGTCGCGACCCCCCCCTCGTAGGACCCCCC